CAAATCTTCGAATCTTCAAATCTTCAAATCTTCAAACTTTCAAACTTTCAAACTTTCAAACTCTCAAACTTTCAATCTCTCAAAGCTTCAAACTTTCAAATTTTCAAATCTTTAAATTACCAAACCTTTAAACCTTCAAACCTTCGAACTTTCGAACTTTCAAACTTTCAAACTTTCGAACTTTCAAACTTTCAAACTTTCAAACTTTCAAACCTTCCAATCTTCAAACCTTCCAGTCTTCAAACCTTCCAATTTTCAAACCTTCCAGTCTTCAAACCTTCCAGTCTTCAAACCTTCAAATCTTCAAACCTTCAAACCTTCAAACCTCCAAACCTTCAAACCTCCAAACCTCCAAAGTCATTTCAAATATCACAGAACACCTATGCCCACTGATTTGTCGAGCGGTCACCGTTTTATTCTGAATGTAATTTCCCGTCCGACCGGACCGGATCGATTCACCGTGAACGATATCGCGTCGGCGGGAGTCGATAATTAGCCGGCAGTTTGCGCCGAAATCAATGGGATGTAATTTCAAGCGGCAGTCACGTGTTACACGAGCCTATAATCGAAGATAGAGAATCGGGCGAGAGGGCTGTTTGCGTCGCGAATAACGTGTCGCGACAATGTTATCGATACGTCCGCTCGGCAATCGATAGGCCCCGTGCCCGGCGGAAGTCGAACAGAATGGAACTCCGTTTTCAATAGAAAACTCGAACAGACCACGTAACATTACATTCACAATTTGCAGATAATATTTCAGAACCGTTGAAACGTTAACTTACTGTCGGTCACCGGTGGCCGACACTCTAACTACCCCCTTACTATCAATTTCTCCTCACAATCCACCAAATACACTTCAAACTCAATAACTTATTGAAAAACAAAGAAATTCTATATCTACTATTTACTAATTAACATAATTGCTAATCCTTTGCACTTGGACATTTTTCACTAGAAATATTTGACCATTTTCTAAGATAAAGACACTGAGGAACAATATTTCAATATAATTAACATAATTCTATTAATCCTTTGCACTTGGACATTTTTCACTAGAAATATTCGACCATTTTCCGAGATAAACACTGAGGAACAAAGCTATATTTCAATATTTCTCAAGTTGCTGCAAAATAAAAATTTATTGGCACTTTTCGTAAGTGTTGCCAACAAGTATATCTCGTTATTGAACGCTAAGAGTGTTAATTATCGATGCAAAACCATAGCGGATCGCGCGAGCGATTTCTTCAGGGTCCGCGGCGAGCGATCACGTCCTGTTTGTGTTTGCCGCGGCGCGAAACTTCGCGATTGGACAGCGAACGGTCACGTATATCCGGCTAATTACCGGCCGCTGCGAGCGAAGCCCGAAGTTCGGCAGCCTGTTGTCCCCGCTCGCCGGAATCAATGGGAAGAACAAACTTCGGGGATCGCCGCACCGGCTTCCGGGATTACGTTCCGCGGCTCTCGCCCCCTTCGATGCCAGTCACGTAGGGGTGAACTCCTCGCGCGAGGGTAAATACGCTCGATTGCGCCCCGCCGAGTTTTCTTATCAACGCCGGGATTTTCGTTGCACCGAATTAAACGTTGTAATGAGACACCACTGTGTGTACTTAGTTGCCTTTTTTCTTCTTTTCTTTTTCTAAGCTTCGTGTACTTCAGTTTGAGGTTTAGGAATTGATTTATCATTTGAATGAAGTATTCTGATTACTTTACGATAGTAATACTGGGAAATAAAGTATTCATATTACTCATATATATTTCATACAGTAGAACTATAAAATTTGATATTTAATATTATACTTCTTATATATTTTATATATTTTTTATATATTATATGAAATATATAAAAATAATTTTTATATATTATATACAAGAATTTATAATTTTACAAATCGAATCAAGTGGTGACCGAGGGTCACGTCTCGAGTGCAAAGGGTTAAGGAAATTGTTTCTCGGTCAGTCTCTTAGAATTCGGTGGTTCTAATGGTAATCGTGTCGACGTGATTCGCTAGGCGTTGCCCGCACGTTCCGTTTCGCTTCCCTCGTGTAGAGGATTCCTTGATCCTCCTATAATTCTGTAGAACCAGGGAGCGAGAGAGATTCGTGGTTCCCTTGTCCTGGGAGTCGTGTAATTCCTACTTTGTTCGGGGATTTAGGATGTCGCTGTGGGTCCTTTGGAGAAAATAATGTGCGGGCCACTAGCTCCGCCGGTGGTACGATTATTAAATTCTAATTATGCATTTAATGTAGTTAATAATCAACTGGAAATAATTCTGTTTGCGGACTAGCCATTACGAGTTTGTCGGGAAACTCCTATACGATAGAACCACGGTTAATTTATCCAATCTGTGTTTCAATTACCTTCCAATTGACCAAGTTATCGTAACAAAGGTTTCATTAAACTCTAATGGATGTGTCATCCCCGTGAATTTATTTCCAAACATTTACTTCGTATCTATATTAGGAAGCTGAAAAGAGGTAACAGTAGGCGGGGCGAAAAGAAAAGGGCGTGGTAAAGAGAAAATAGGCGTGGCAAATGAAAAATGGGCGGTACCAAACAGTTCTCCAACTGATTCGTTTCACTTTAAAATCCTCCTACTCGCAGAAACTCATGAATTTCCTTTATAATCTTATTCCCACATTAAAACAACAAAAAGACATATCAATAATAGTCAGGAAAGGAAAAGTAGGCGTGGCGAAAAGAAAAAGGGCGTGGTAAGGAGAAAGTAGGCGTGGTAAATGAAAAATGGGCGGTACCAAACAGTTCTCCAACTGATTCGTTCCACTTTAAAATCCTTCTACTCGCAGAAACTCACGAATTCCCTTTATAACCTCATTCCCACATTAAAACAACAAAAAAGCACCAACAGGCGTGGCAAAGGGAAAATGGGCGGAGCCAAAGACCGTAGTAGGAGTAACTACCGACTGACCTTGAGCAACGGTCTCTCCAGTGAACAACTCTTCAACCGCGACATCCTCTCGGTTGCAAAACAAAACCACGAGGATTTCTTTCCTAATCTCGGCGAACGATCTTCACGCCTCCGCTTCACGGCTCGAGAGCTCCTCGCGCTCTAGATGCGCCGGATTTCTTGATCCCGGTGTTCGATAGCGCGCGCTCGAAACACAGATTAAAGGCTCCGTTTTGCAACGGGACGTGTCGGATCCGCGGCCACAGAATCGTCGGGTCTTTTATTTTTCTCCTTCGCTCGAGAGCCCCGGGAAATGCGTTTTCATAGCGGCTAGTCCCCTCCCACTTTTCCCCGCCTCTTCTGCCAGGGACGTCCAGTTCGACAAATTTTTATCGCGTTCGTCCCGGCGAATCGAAGCCTCGTTCACTTTGAAGGCGCTGAAAATTATTAGATTCTCCACACATCCAAATTTTCTACTGAGAAGGAAAATAAAAGATCGAAGGAATGTTATACAAATTAGTTGCAGTTGCTGATAAGAAAGCTGAAAGAAATAAGAAAACTCATTTCAACTGTATTTCGAGTGTTTAATTGGCAATCGAAGTGTTAATTCGAAGGCGAACCCGTTTCCTCCGCGGAACAGATTGAAAGAAATCGGTTCGTTTAACCTTTGCACTCGAAAGCTGCCAGTCACCACTCGATTCAAAATTGTAAAATTCCATACTTAACATTAAGCTTAATCCGTCGATACGTGACGTGGAAATCAAACACCATTCTTCCCCTTATTTTATCAATAGATTCCTCGTTAACCCTCTATGGGCAGAATTTTTGTCCATGATTATAACAAAATGACGTTACTTTCACACCTGAGTGTATGAAAGTTGAAGTTAATTGATCACTTAATTCTATTCACCACTTTCAGTGCAGAATGAAATAAATCGACAAGATGCCAGTGTGCTGATACGTGATTTCAAAGTTACATGGGCCTACAGAGGGTTAAATTAGTTTCAAAAGACGTCGTCCACATCTCATAAAGATAAATTGAACATTTCTAGTTACAAATTTTCCGAGTGCAAAGGGTTAATCGCAGTCGCGCGCAGGTTTTAGGCGAAACGCACACGAGCGGCTCGCCGGTGAACGTCGCAGCCGCCATTGTTTCGGCCGAATGGAGACGCGAGGCTCTCTTGTCCTCGTCGCGCGACGGGAGAGCTTTGTTTCTCCGTTGCTCCGAGACAATTGCTGCCGCGATCGAGTCCGTTCGTGTGCACGCCGCCTTAGGGAGGCTCGTACGAACAACATTTCCGACGACGAGACGCTGCACGACGCGAATGGCTCGCTTTGCCGCTTGACAGCAGCGTTCTAGAGCAGCACGCGGCCACCCCCGCAGCAAAGGACCCCGTGCACGGTGAAACTCGCCGGTAGATATCGGTACAATCGATGGGTCCGAGCGATTCAAGGTTTCCAGAGACGCGTCGCGTTCGAGGAAACTGCGGGAAACTCTTAGACCCGTTAATTGTGGCGATGGCTGTTCCAGCGTGCATGGGGCAGCTTAACCGTTTGAATGCCGTCGAAGAATGACGAGCGATCGAGCTTCTTTCGTTTCTAGGATCGTTTCGTTTTGCTATTTTCGATTAGGATTAAATCAGGTTATCTATTCGTCTTTATAATGATTTTTCTTTCATTTTCGCTGAGAAATTGAATGACGCTTTTGTTTTTGTATGGAACTATTGTAATATGATCGCTCCGTTTTGCCATTTTTAGGCAGGATTAAATCAGGTTTATCTATGCATCTTCCTAATTGTTTATTTTTCTTTCGCTGAGAAACTGAATGACGCTTTTTTGTTTTATATGGAAATTTAAATGGAACGATCGTATTACAACAGTTCTATATGAAAATAGAAAAGTATCATTCAGTTCTCCAGTAGAAATAAAAGAAGAATTAGTAATTAGACGAATAGATAAGCTTGCTTTGATTCAGCGAACTGATAGCCAGCACTCAGCTAGTGCAACCGAGAAGCACGATCGCGCTTCGGCACTGAAACGGTTAAGGGTTCTCGTGTCTCGATGCTAAACGAGCGATTTCACCGCTGTTCGTAGAAAAGCCCGACGAAAGGAGAAGGATGCGGGGACTACAGAGGATCCGAAATTGTACCTCGAGGAGGCGGCCCTCGAAAGGCAGCTGCCCGAGCTGGACCTGAGGATGCTGGTCGATCTGCCGCCCGGTCTTGACTACAACGAGTGGCTGGCCTCTCACACCCTAGCACTGTTCGATCACATCAACCTCGTCTACGGGACGATTTCCGAGTTCTGCACCATGACGGGCTGCCCCGACATGACCGGTCCCGGTTTAAGGTACGGCGTTCTCGTCAAAGAATATAATATTATAGTGATCCCGAACGAGCCCCAAGAATATAGTGGGGCTACTATTATTATAGATATTGAAAAGATGGATCTTCGGTAAAAATAGAATTAGGAAACAATATGGACGACACGTAAAAATACAACTTAATACCACGAAGGCCAACACACGACTCTATCACGCACAAAAATGTTCTCCGCTGTCTCTCACCAAAATGTCCTCGCACGCGTTCCCACTCGCTTTTAACACACACCCCCATTCGCTCTGACTTTCTCACCCTTGCACCCTTCTCGCATCTTTCGTCCATAGTCAAAATTCGCGAGACCTGTCGCGTACACGCTTTTCTCGCGGTCCAGTCGCTCGGTTCCGGACACTCTTCCTCGCATTCTTTCAGCCAATCGAGATTTTCTAAACGCAGTCGCACTATTTTCCAAACATCGCCGGTCCGTCGCAATAATGGAATGTGCGCAAAAATGGAAGAAACATTCCCTTCGAAGATTCCCCTATCAATGAAAATTTAGAAATTCCATTCAGAGGATAAAAGTCGAAAGTTAAAGGTCACGGTTCAGTATATTGTATCAAATTTAAAATATAGGTCAGGATACAGTGAAAAATTCAATCACCAGTGCTTCCGAAAATGTTACCATGTTTATGTTCAAAAATGGAAGAAACATTCCCTTCAAAGATTCCCCTATCAATGAAAACTTAGAAATTCCATTCAGAGGATAAAAGTCAAAGGTCACGGTTCAGTATATTGTATCAAATGTAAAATATAACAGATTCCCTTCAAAGATTCCCCTATCAATAGAAACTTAGAAATTCCATTCGAAGGATAAAAGTCGAAAGTTAAAGGTCACGGTTCAGTTTAAAGGGTAAAAGTTAAGGGTTGAACCTACAAAGGGCACAAGATCGACGAAGTCTCTCCACAGCATGATGTCGAAATTAGTTCATTAGCCTAATGCGCGACGTGGAAGTCTCAAAGGGAAGTTTCCATCGAAGGGCGAATTTTTATCGTGGAAACTTCGGAGAATTTCCCCCGATGCCTTTCTCCCGCACTGGAGCAAACTCTAGGGGCTAAGAACACTGTGCTCCGCGATTCGACAATAACAAAAAGAGAGGAAGAGGCAAGGAAGGCTTTTAAAGAGCATTCTTTGAACAGCTCTCCCCTCGTTCAACTCCCCCTCCCACTCTATTTTTCTCTCTCTGTTCTGTGCTCCGTCTGTTTTTCCCTTTGTTGGCCCGTCCGGTCGACATTACACAGCCGAGTAATTCTCGTCCTTATCTGTTTCAGAACGTATCTGTGGTTCGACGAGAAGGGGAAGAAAACGAGAGTGGCAGCGCCACAGTATATAGATTATGTTATGACTTTTACACAACGCACCGTTAGCGACGAGACTATATTTCCTACGAAATATGGTAAGCGGTCGTGAAGACTGTCGGTGGAAAATGGAGGAGAGAACTATATACGCTGCTGTTCAAAAATATTCGATCGAACTAGCTTATTTCTAAGTTGTTCTGTTGTTGTTTTATTTTTCGTGTTTTATTCTGAGATGCATACTTGTTGAGTACTAAACTTTGTGGTAATTTTAAGGCTAGAGCTATTCAACCCTCTTCTGACTTCTTTCAACAACTGTACTCTTGTAGTTTCTATGGAAAGATAAAGAAAAGTCGATTATACTCGATCGTTCGAATTATCTTATTTCCATCTAAGTTATTCTGTTGTTGTTTTATTTTTGGTGTTTTATTCTGAGATGCGGATACTTGTTGAGTACTAAATTTCATGGTAATTTTAACGTTAGAACTATTCAACCCTTTTCTGACTTCTTCAACAATTTTACTGTTTTAGTTTCTATGGAAAAATTATATTCAATCGTCTTATTTTTACATAAATTATTCTGTTATTTTATTTTTGGTGTTATTTCATTTTAAGACGTGAATACTTGTTGAGTACTAAACTTCATGGTAATTTTAACGCTAGAACCATTCAACTCTCTCCTAACTTCTTCCTTCAACAACTGTACTCTTGTAGTTTCCATGGAAAGATAAAGAAAAGTCGATTTAACTGCTGGTAGTTCTACTGTTAATTGGAGTTTCTCTGCCATAATGGTGTGAAGTACATAAGGCATTGTAATAAAGAGATTCTTGATATTGTACATCGAATTTGAGAAGAGGAGAGAAACCATTCAGTGGTTAATTAACGGAATACAGAAGGAGTTACCCTTTATTCTAAAGCATATTATAATTTTCTTTGGATTTACGCTACACATATCTCTGCAATGTTACATTAACACTTTGACTGTCACAGTGGTCACCGATAAGCTTTGAAATTACAAAAAAATAATTATGACTCAAGATAATTGATTTCGAATACAAATTTTCCATAACGCAAATAATCAGTAAATAGGGTAACATAAGAATTTTCATATCAAAGAATTAATAATTATATTATTGGTATTATTATTATTGTTATTATTATTATTATTATTATAGAGAATTAATGATTCTTGTTTTGTATCTTTGCAATAGAAAACTAATACATAAAACTCTCATGTTTTCCATGACAGTCAACGTGTTAGCACAGAACTAGCAATTAACACACTAAAAACCGCTCATTACCACGGAACCGTCGCGCAGCGTGTCAAGTAATTTCCAAAATGAACGGTTCAGTTCGCCCCGGACGCGTTGCAATTGATCGAGTAATTTTGAGCAGCCAGCGTACAATGAGCGACGAGTCACAGAAAGCCCCGATCGATGGGGGCTATCCGTAACGAATCGCCGCGGGCCCCCGACGGAAGCAACAATAATCGCGTTAATCGTTCGGTTTCCTTGATGTTCCAGCAAATGAATTTCCTAGCTCGTTCGAATCGATAGTGCGTAAGATCCTGCGGCTACTGTACCACGTGGTGGCACACATTTACCACTGCCACTTCAGAGAGGTAGCACTATTGGGGTTGCACGCCCACCTCAATTGTGTGTTCGCCCACCTCACGCTCCTTAATCAACGCTTCAACCTTATCGATCCCAAGGAAACGGAGATCTTGGGAGACTTAGAGGCTGCCCTCTTGGGTAAGCTCGGCCGCTTCAGGCCGGTCGATATTATTATGCAACCCTCCCGCGGACGTTGCGTCAACCGTCGACGATTGCACCCTGCAACGCAGGAACAGTCTCTTTCGCCAATGGGAACTGAGAACGATCTACCAGTTACCGGAATTCTATTCACTGTTACATTCGTTTTTGGCTTTCCCTTTTAAAAACGGAAATCGAGCCGTCGAAAAAGAAATTTGGCAGATCTTCTACCCTCGTAACGCTTGGACAAAGTCGAACGTGTACGAAGAAAAAAAAAGAATCTAGAATCTAGAATCTAGAATCTAGAATCTAGAATCTAAAATATAGAATATAGAATATAGAATCTAGAATCTAGAATATAGAATATAGAATATAGAATATAGAATATAGAATATAGAATATAGAATCTAGGATCTTGGATCTAGTAATTGGCAAAGGGTCAACAGTAGTTGACAGTTAAAGATGACTATAGTAATTGAAACAATTGAATTTTACGATTATGAAACATATTTGTACTTTATTGTTGTCGCTAATTACATTCTGCTGTGGCTAACAATGTTTCCCCAATTGCAGGTGACTCGACATCATCATCTGCGCCTTCACAAACCTTAGCCATCCAGGAGACTCCGACCACAGCCACCTAGATCGCAATGCACAGCAAGCCAGAGGTTGCAGTTCCTGAGACTAGGTGACGATAGGCGTTTGTTTTCCACCGTGTTTTATTTTTTTTCTCTATTTCCCTCCCTCTATTTCTCTCTCTTTTTCTCTTTCCTCTTCTCCTCCACTTTTTTTCTCTCTCTCTCTCTCTCTCTTTCTTTTTTTTAAAGAAAAAGGAAAACATAGAATATGCGAGCAAACAAAGTTTAAAGATGAACAACCACACGCAGGTGGAGCGAAAGCGCAGAGTTCTGTAAAAACCAGTAGTACCTGTACATAGCGAAGTGTGAACAACAACTACATGATGTAATTAGGTTCCTCCGTTTGTTGTTTGTGAGATTGTACATAATTTATTAAACAGTAAGATATACGGAAGAGACGAAGGATGATTATTGATTATTA